TCTTTTGGGATCTTACAAAGCTTCAAACGACGCGTCGACTATTAAATCAGTCGTTGACGATTTTGATAGTCGACGTAGTCGTGACTAGTCGACTAACCGTGGCAGCCCTACTTCCATGTGAGCTTTAAATGAGGATCCTTCCTTTAATTCTAACCTCTCTCCTTTCTCTCCTTCTTTCTTATCTGTCTCCATCTCTGAGTGAAATTAGCTTTCTGCCTTTTCTCTCCCATTAGAAATAAACCAGCTGGACCTTTGACATTATTTATCAACATAAATTAATACAAATTAAAAATAGGAATAGGAGGAATAAAATTCAGTAAAATTTTACACTCCAATCTCATTTTCTGGCAGAATTTTTGGAGTTTAAAATTATAAACCTATGACCATTATTGTCTACAAGGTTAAAATGTGAATGTTAAACAGCACTTCCTGTTCTTACAGCAAAGAGGTGGCTGGGCAAAAGGAACAATAAGGATTGTATCAGTTTGGCCAGAAAACATCTTGATGATCCCCAAGAATTTTAGGGAAAATACTCTGGGGACTGACAAGACAAAAGTTAAACTTTTTGAAAGGTGTGCACCCCATTACATCTGGCATAAAACTAACAGCATTTTAGAAAAGCAACATTATAGCTTCAATAAAATATGGTGGTGGTAGTGTGATGGTTTGGGGCTGTTTTGCCTTCTCAGCACCTGGAAGGCTTGCTGTGGTAAGTGTAACCATGAAATTTTCCATCTACCAAGACATCCTGAAGGAGAATAGCAGGCCATCTGTTCATGACTTCAAGCTGAAGCCCACTTGGTTTCTGTAGCAGGACAATAATCAAAACCCAGCAGCAAGTCCACCTCTGAATGGCTTAAAAAAACACTTTGGAGTGGCCTAGTTAAAGTCCTGACCTTAATCCAATTGAGATGCTGTGGCATGACCTTAAAAAGACAGTTCATGCTCCAAAAACCTCCAGTGTAGCTGAATTACAACAATTCTGCAAGGATGAGTGGGCCAAAGTTCCTCCACGGCTTTAAAAGTGTCATTGCCAGTTAATACAAATGCTTGATTGCAGTTGTTGCTGCTAAGGGTGGTCCAACCAGTTATTAGGTTCAGGGGGCAATCACTTTATCACACAGGGCCATGAAGGTTTGGAATTGCCCCCCCGTAATAAG